AGAGGGAGGAAGGAGGAGTGGTGGTAAGATAAGGAGGAGGAAGGTGTAGGTAGGTGAGAGGGGGGTGCAGGAGGGGGACACCGGACACGTCCGTGAATGTACTGTTTGATGTTGATTTCTTTATGGTTGATATTGTTATAAAAGATTTATGTTCTTGTTTCTTAATGAAAAATTAATAAAAAAATTTATTTAAAAAAAAGATTTGTGTTGTTATCAGAATGCAATCAACAGCTTTCTGCATTTTCTATTGCTTCTGCAAATCACTGATGGCCACAAAAAGCATTAATACATGCCTATGGGGGGGGGGGAGTAAAGACTCAAGTTTGCTGTACTGGTGAAGATGCTGGCTTAGAAACCAGATGGTAAATTTTAGACCTCCCTCTGGCATGAAAGTTGGCTGGGTGATTTTTGGGCCAGTTGCTGTCTCTCAGTTTAACCCACCTAATGGGGTGGTGGTTGTTGAGGGAAAAATAGGAAGCAGGAAAATAAATTATATTCACGTTTAGTTTTTCACACACACACACACACGCACACACTAATATTAATAGCTTGAGTGATCTTGCCTACAGAATTTCAATCCTATGTAGATTTAGTTTTTAAGCAGTCTTCACTTCAGACTATTCATTGAGGTTTGCTGCACAAAAATAGCAATTTGTCCAAAATTTATTTAGAAAACTTTTCCCCCCCTCTGACAATTAGTAATTCCCACTGGAACAGAGAGTGACAAAACAAGCCTCTTAAATAAGAAATAGAAGGGAATGCAGTCTAGAGAGCAGAAAGTCAAAGAGCAAGTCCCATCTTTCAAGTGATCGGGCTGTCTTAAAAGCTTTTGGCTGATGATAATCCTGGCAAAGCTCAAAAATAAGACATATTTTGCTCCTCCTTCAGTTGCAAGATTAGCAACCTGTTGCTAGAATTTCTGGTTTTGACAAAACAAATGCCTAGTTTGTACACTGCACTGTACACTCAACTACATGACCCCCAAATGATTTTGGGCAGTTTTTAAATGCAACTACATCTGGTAATTGTTTGCTTTTGTTCTTTCAAATGGTATTTTTGAGGAAAATTTAAACAAATCAGAGAAAACATTTGAGAGGTTATTTGAATGAGGAACCAGTCATGGAAGAAATAATATTTGATGAAATGTAGAAAGGTTACCCGAGAGCCTGGTTTTATGTCATTACATAAATTTGGGGATTATTCCTGCTGACTGTAAATATGTCTAGCCTATTTAAGTTGAGATCCCTTAGAAATAAGCTATTCCAAATTTAGTAGAACCTGCTTCTAAAGGCATAATTTGGAATTGCACTGTCAAATGCAGGAAGTTATACTGAACTATATGTTTTGCTACATATATCTAAACCAGACATGTCAAACTTGCGACATCACGTGACGTCGCGCAACGTATCGGGTCGGTTTTGCCATTGCCGGCAATGGGGTGGGTGCGGCTTCTGGATGATGCGTCTGGCCCGCGGGCCGGCAGTTTGACACCCCAATTTAAACAAACTTAAAATTACATTTAAAAAATCATGATAGTAGAGTTTTATGCCAATGGGAGCAGAACAAGACTGAAGATCTATTACTTAATTGTACATCCTTCTCTCATTAAATATGTTAGACCTTGTAAATAAGGCACTCTTTTTCAGTCTGGCTACTGTACTTTGCTACAGCAGCAATAATAAAACACTTAACACAGATTCTACTATATTCCTAAAACTGTAATATAATAAATAAATTAAAAATGTTTTTTCTTTAAATTCATTACAACAAAGAGATACACAGTGATAAAAATGTTGAAGATTACATAAATATCAGCCAAGATCATTGGAAAGAAAATGAAAATGGTATTTGTTATACATCCATCTGTAAATTCTACATGTATACATCTTCTCCCATGGGGAGATTTGCATATATGGTATGTCAAAGAAGGAGCTGTCAGAGAAGCTCTTTATTTAGTGGAGTTGCCTGTCCATTTGGAACATGCATGGAATATTCATTAATTAAAGCTGATGTATTTTTAAGCATTTCGTGGAACATGTCCATAGTTTTTCTGTAAGTACTTCGTTCCAGTACAAAGGGGCGGAAAAGGTTCAGTGGTTCTGCCTTTTGGAACTCCACTGGAACACCCAGTTCCTGTGGCAGATTTCTATTTCCAATGAAAAAGTGGTAAAGCCTTTTTTCTTGCAAGCTTTTCTCCAAAAAGTTGAGTACATCTTGCAGCCTGGCCTCCAGACAGTCAGAAGCCCATGCTGAACTAGGATGGATTTGT